ATCTGAGTACATAGAGCCTGCAAAGAGAGCTCATGTTGTGCCACCACCCAGAGGAAGAGGAAGGGGAGGATTTGGACAAGGAATTCGACCGCATGATATCTTTCGTCAGAGGAAACAGAACACAAGCAGGCCACCCTCCATGCATGTGGATGATTTTGTTGCTGCAGAGAGCAAGGAAGTGGTTGCTCCAGATGGGATACCACCAGCCAAAAGGCCACCAAAAGTGTCACAGAAGATATCTTCACGTGGTGGGTTCTCAGGGAATCGTGGAGGCCGAGGAGCTTTTCACAGTCAGAACAGGTTCTTTACACCACCTGCTTCAAAAGGTATGTTGGTTCCTGTATTAGAACTGGAGTAGATGTAAGCTAAAATTGCTTCAGTAATACTAAACCAATTTCCTAGCAGTTCATCATCCCCAGTATGAGATCTTCCTGAAGCAGTGTTACTGCAAAGAGTTGTTTAGCACCAGGAAAGATTGTCTTAAAGGTGAGAACCTCTAAAGCTGTACAATTGAAACAAGGTTGTGAATTCCCATGCTGCCTTTCTGCCTCTCTTTTACAAAAGGAGTCGGCTATTTTAGTGACCCTTGGAGTGCTTCCCTGCTTTTTGTGACACTGTAGTTTCTGAAATCAAGCACCACAGTACATCTCTGGGTTTAAATGAGGCTTTGGAATAAAAGGATGGAAGATCCTGACAAGAATAAGATGCAATTTTCAGTGAACCTGGAGATTGTAACCTACAGAGTGTTAAATTTCTTTCATACATAAAGATTGCATTCCTTTTCCTTCCATCCCATAATTAGGGCAAGTCCTTGCAAAGTAGAAACAGAAAATACTTCTATTCATAAAGTTATAAATACTAGGATTTATTTCACCATAAAATCTGAAAGTATAAGAGTCTGTCTTAATACGCTAGATAATGTGATTTCAACTTGAGTCCTTGCCTGATAAATAGATCTGTTCCCCTTATTCTGTGCAGAATAACTTGTAGACTTCAAGTTGGAATACTGCAGGTATGTTGATACCGAGTATCTTTATTTGAATTATGTAAATATTATGTTACCACCCTGAGTATTGCGAAGATTGAAATGGAAAGCAACCCCAACCCGGTGATGTTTGCTCAACAGTGTGTTGGTTTTTCTCTCCCTATCTAGGAAATTACAGTCGTCGTGAAGGTGCTCGAGGCTCCAGTTGGAGTGCACAGAGTACGCCCAGGGGAACCTACAATGACAGTAGAGGTGGTCAAAGCAATTTTAACAGGGGTCCACTGCCACCACTGAGACCATTAAGTTCAGCAGGTACATGGTATTCATATGGGCATCGAACTATAGAGAATTCCTTGAATTTCATTTTTGCTTTACAAATGAAACCTTGCAAGGATGCTGCAGACACCTTGAAATTCAGCAAATGTTTTAAGCATATATGAACAGTTGTCACTGAGACTGTGTCAGATACGTGCTTTCGTACGAACTGCCCTGTAACCCATAAAACTTGCTGAATTGAACGCTTGATCGCAGAATCTTAATTTTGCACTCAGACTTTTGTCATTCGATTGTCTTCGTACCTCCATGGTAATCATAGCGCAATTAAAACAGCAGTGCTTGCCTAAAAGAAAAGTGAAAATTAAAAGGAGGAAAGAGACGCTCTTTGTATCTCATCCTGGTTTTGTTTCTTACGCTTTTGCAGCAGCTACTCCGCCTAGGGCTTTTTTTTTTTTTTTTTCCAACTGAGTATACTTTTCTTTGCTTTAAGGCTACCGACCGAGTCCTCGCGATCGTGCTTCCAGAGGCCGTGGAGGAATTGGACCGTCTTGGACAAGTGCTAATAGTAGTAGCAGTGGTGGCTCAAGAGGGAAATTTGTTAGTGGAGGCAGTGGAAGAGGTCGTCATGTACGTTCCTTCACAAGATAAAATAAGACCCAATGGTGGAACAGCTCAACCTTGTGGACTTCTGTGAAGATGACAAAGAAAGCAGCGTCACTAACGGACCAATTCAGAGTTTCTGGTATCTGGAGGACACCAAGAGAATATTTTTGTCTGAAGAAAAAGCTTTTGTTTGATACAAGAATTGAAATTTCAATAAAATTCAAGACTTTTTGTGTACAATTGTAAATTTTTTGTTCCTTTTGAAAGAATGTTTCAATTTTTTTGTGGATTTCAGTAGACAATACTCAGTAAAGCACCTCTTTGAGTTAAGACTTGAAGGACTTCTTAAATATTCATTGTGCCAAAAGAGAGGTGCAAGTGTTTTGTGTGTTACTTATTACTGCAAGAAAATTAAAAAATAATGTATGTACGGCAATTTTGGTTTTTTTTTTCCTCTCAGGTTTAAAGCCATTAGCCCTTTTATTCCTTTGTTATTTTGTTAGCCAGTCTGGGTTATTAATGAATGAGGTGTGTATGCCAGCTGGTGAAGTAGCCGATGATAGAAGAATAACTGAAAATAATTAATCTGTTAAAGTATACAAATGTAATTGTAATTTATATAGGTTTTGTTGTACATCTTGGGAAATGACATTAGAAACTTTTAAGTCCCACCGAGGTAAAAGTTGAATAAAATCTGTCACTAACTTCAGGGAGAATAAGTCAACATTCCTAACTTACTTTATTACTCCAGCTCATGTGTTAGGAGCACAGGAATTATTTCACTGGAAAGCAGCATATACTTTAAGTTAAAAAGCAAATACTCATACCCTTAGAGTACCTGGAGTTAATTTGTTCCTTGCCTCTCCTCTGCCTAACATAATTGAGGAGAGGGCAGAGACACAGGTGTATAACCTGAGCCAACATGTCAGGTAATGATGTTAAACCTGGTCTATAAAGAGGTGGAGTTTTGTTCCTGTGATTAGACTGAGATACAGTGGAAAAAGAAAAAGGATGAATAGGAATTCATAAAGAAATGTCACTACTCGATTAAATTCTGAATTTATTTTCATAATGAGTTCAGTGAAGTAAGGTTTTATGTGTTTTCATTCCTTTGGGCTCCATGGGTTTCATAGAATTAACAGATTTTCAGTAGCCATTGCATTTTTGGACAGGGTGGGGTAGCCTAAAGGCCACATGCAGTATTTGCAGATGAGCTCCACTGTCAGACTTAGGTTTGATTTTCACTTATGCTTGGTCTGTTGACATTACAGAAGTGCTATAGAGGGGTCTTACTCATATATTGCCAACACCATATTTTAAGTGTTTCTAAAGTATGGTAATATGTTAAATTATTATTTTACCTTTATACTGCCTGACTCAATTAAGTAGTCTTTTAATTTGATACACAGAAAGCCTCTATTAGCTGTATTTTTCCTGTGTGGAGACTCTCAAACTGTCCCACTGTTTGGGAGGTGACTGAATAACCTATGAAAGTGGGAAACGTCCTTGAATTGACTGGGTGCACCTACAGGGAACAATATCAGTTCTTTAAGGGTTTAACCTTATTTAAAATAACATAGATTTGGATTGGAAGCCAAACAATTTTCTGAATGGTAAAACAAGAGGGAGATGCAATTTTACTAATAATGACTAAAATGGGTGGAGCTTTCACAGGCATTACTGTTACTAATGCTGTTTTTTAAGGAGCACTGCATAAATATTTTTAAAGCTGACTCATTCCTTTATACCCTGTGTTTAAGGTGGTTTTATTTTTTTAGAAATATTACTGTTTTGAAAATAAGCAGGGATATAAATAATTTGGATTTTGTCAGGGAATTTGAAATGAAAAGTAAAGTGTCAAGCATGGAATAATATGTAAATATTCGGTACTGGTTCTTCAGAGTTTAAAATATACAGCATGTCACATTAGTAAGTTTCAAACTAGGAGGAAATAAAGGGTTGGTTGCATTGGTGTATGAAAGCTGTGTAAATTTAAACTTTAAAAAAGAAGTGTGTGTATATAATGTTTTGGGGTTTTTTTATTTGTTTTTTTTTCCCTTATTAATGAATTTAGTTCTGTGACCCTTCAATACAAAGTGGTTCCTTTCATGGATAAATCCAGCATGAAAAAATGCTGTTTAAAACTCAGGTGTTACGTGGTTTGCTTTTTAAAATGGGATCGCTACCATGAGTAAATAACACTTCAAAGAAGTGTTCCATTTTGTTTTTGATACTCTGGCTAAAAGACATTTTCAAGTTTTGTTTCCTGACTGGAACACCAGGGAGTGGCTAACTTCAGAGACTCCTGTGCTTACTTGATGAGCAGAACAGTAGGAGGAGGGTGAGTGACGCAGAAGAGATCTCCAGTGCAGCACGGAGAGACAAAAGGCACAGTTTGTGTGAGGCGTGAGGGTGAGACAAGTTGTGTGCATTGGGTTTTGCTTCCATAATCTTTAGCTGCTGTGCAGTCTGTAACGTGGCTGAGGGCCAGGTGCACATGGAGAGGTGCAGGAGATAAACAGATCCTGGGCTGGTCTCTGGTTGTGCCATGTTGGCTTTCAGCCTTCCTTTTTTCTGCTGAGTAACTCCTCCATCAGGTAAGAGACTGTGTCTAGTCAGTGAAGACAGAGGACAGCATGCAGCAAATTCCTGCTTGAGTGTCCCATGTCCAGATTGCTCATGTTTAAGCAAATAAAACAGCTGTTTTTTGCTCTTCTTATATGTTCCCACCAGGGCTTTTGTAGTGGCCATAAAAAAACTTGCATTAGGGGTAAGATTCCTGCAGTTGATGGAGAGAATGAATTTTTCCCTTCTTGCCCTTCATTGTCCTATTATCTGTGCAGGACTGGAGTGTTGTACTCCAAGAATTCTCAAATTTTTGCAGCTGCTCATCCCGTTCAGAAACTCCCATCTGTGAGGTGGGAGGGAAACCTGGAGAAGGGGTAGTTTGAACACCTGCTTTGTTTATTGCTCCCTCTAGGAGGGGAAATGCCGCCTTGCCTACTCCAGGGCACCAAGCCTGGAATTGCAGTGCATTTGTGACTCCTGCGCTCTGCAGGCCAGTGTACCTAAATGTTGCTATCTCATCTGATAAAGAGGGTAATCAAACTTCTGTACAGAATGAAGTGAACCAAAATTTTTAAATTATGGTGCAGACCCTTTATTAGTTCAACTTTTGTACAAAGTGTACTTCAAAGTGATACAAAGTGTTACCATTTCTTACACACACTAGAGATTAAGATCTGTTAAGTGCTGGTTTATCCTTGTGCATATAAAGGTATAAAATGTAAATAGACTGGCAGCGACCCATAATGCTGGAAGACGGTTCAGTGTTTACTCAGTTAATAGAAAGTTGCATAGAATTGTAGGTCTTTTATAAAGGCATCTTCTGCGTGGTAAAATCTCCCTGACCTACCGTAGTCCATCTGACACCAGTACGGGAGAAAGGCAAGGCTAGTACTGCTCCTTGTCAATACTACCCAGCACTTCTAAGGAAAGCGGCTGTAGAGAAGCACCATGCCAGAAACATCCAAGAGGACAGCACATGGAAAAATTCATTTGCAAGGCTACCAATTTCTATAAATTGTAGGAACTGTTTACAACCAGGGACTATTAAAATGTTACTTAACACAAACACCTAAGAACAGTTCAGATCAAACCACTTTTGGCCAGTCAAAATACATCACTATAGCAAGTATTTTGCTGGACTGTGCAATTCCCTTCCCTTCTATGCTGTCAAGAAACTTTTGTATATACAAGTTCCACATACCTTATTTAACAACTTGCTCTGAGTTTTGTTTCTGAATCTCCCAGGCTTGGTACTGTGACATTGTGTACCCACCTACCTGTGGATAAAGAATTAATCTCCATTTAATTCTAATGCCATGTTAACTCCCTGCCACATGCTGGCAGCTCACACTGGTAAGCTGGCTGGTGGCACAAGCTGGTGAAGCCACATCTCTGCTTTTGGGCTGAAGGAACAATCACACCACACTTGTTCTCTTTACTCTCCTTCTTCCAGCTGCAAAAAGCCAGAAGCAGCAATTCAAAATACAACAATTTGCACAGTTACTGGTACACTTGGAGCAGCAGTTCCACTTGTGAGGAAATGGAACTGATTAAAGTGTGATTTAGTATGAGAATAGGAATACCAGTAATTCCATGCTGGAATCCTCCTGTAATCCTCCAGTCTCATATAATGCTAAAGTATGATCATGACTAGGGAAGAATAATTTTCAAGTGAAAAGCTTTAACTTATGTCAAGTCTAGTACAATATTTGGAGTCTTAGTTTTTGTGAACAGGATTAACAGACTATTTGAAAGAAAAAATATCCCTTGCTGCTGCCAACTGCTATGGAAAAGCAGAAAGTAGATGAAATATTAACATAACGGGCTATTTAATGTCAGTCTAGTCAATTGTAAGACAGGTCAAATGATGATACTTCAGCAATGCCACCCTGTGAGGGGTTCATTAGCAGAGGAAAATCTGAAGTGCAGAACTGTTATCAACCCAGAGAAATGGCATAAAGCTTAAAGTCACCAGAGGGACCTGATGCCATTAGCTACTGTGTGCCTGTTTAAAACATCTCTGAAAGTGTTTCTTTGCCGCTAGAGGACACCCAAACTGACAGCCCATGCCAGCAGCTGGTGGACCCAAAGTGTTGCCACATTTCCACACTGGAAGTTCAGACTGTCAGAGCATGATAGCACACCAGAAAATCCTTCATTGCCACCTTGGACACATTTGCTCATGCAGTTTCATGCCATCACTTAGAGAAAAGACAGCAGGCCAAATGCTAAGTAAGCATTAAATAAACCCTATTTCCCATACTAGGAGGAATTTAGTCAGAAATATGTGGGTGATGTTTCTAAAGCACACAAATGCAGAGATCCCATTATGGGGAATGTACAGGGCAGATAACTTGCTTTCTTCTGTGGTCACAACAGAAAAGGTTGGGTTACTACCCTCTGACTCAGGAAAGATGATCCAGCTCATCAAGTTCTAATGGATTTTAAAGTAATTTTCTTCTTTACATTAGGCAAAGTAGATAAAGTCACATCACAACCACACAGTTACAGTACACAGAAAAGCACTAACTGAATCTAACAGCATGAAATGTAGTGTTGTGAAAAAGCTTGGAAATAAGCGTGAATGCTGCAATAATGTCCCACAGAGCACAGACACTCACAGCTTGCTTGTTCAGAACACGAGAGTAACAGCATTCTTATTTTCTGCCTATTGCTTTAATACACACACTGACGTAAGTGAACTGACCACTGAACATTTAATGTGAATGAAGGTCTTCCCAAATTATAGCTACTGGTTTACTGTTTTAGATTGTTAAATATTGCTGCTCAAGAGATGTGCTATGGCATGAATTAGTGAGATTGCTAATGCCCCAAATACTCTCAATTACTTTACAGAAGAGCTATTTATGTCAGTTTTTAAATACACAAGACCAGTTTTAAAATATGTAAGACCTGAATATGTGCACAACTGCCTCAGAGGTACTAAAGAAACAGCAAGTTAGAAGGATTTATTAATGCCCAAAATTCAGACAGCTCTGACCACAAATCTTCATAATGTAGACTGTGTGCTAAAGAAGATTACTGCCTCTTTGGTTATGCTATTAGCTATAAAAGCATTGCTCTGAGTGACAGCAAGGCATGCACAGTAATGCAGTTGCTTTCTAAACTATAAAATTAACATACAGGTGGTCGAACCTGCACACATTTTCCTGAGCCTCCAAAACTGATTTAATACATTCAGTAAACAGAAGGCCAGATATCTCTATAGTTAGTCCACTGATGAGCTGAGAATATGGCTTAGTTATACCACTGAAAGCAACATGAACAGGCTGTGTAAAAGTTTGGAGAAAGTCTTGGAACAGGTTTCTCATGCAGTGCTTAAAGGTAAATGTAAGCCTCCTTGATTTGTGTGTCTGTTAAAAAATCCTATTGCAAACTTTGAATCATAGAATCATCAAGGGTGAAGGAGTTCAACTGCCAACCCAGAACTAGCCCTGCAACCCCAAAACCACTGCTCAGCCCCAGATCCTGACAACTCTTCAACACCTTTAGGGATGGTGACTCTACCAGCTCCCTGGGCACCCTATTCCAACACTTGACCATCCTAACAGAGAAATTTTTTTTCTAACATCTAATCTGAATCTCTTCTGTCTGAGCTTAAGGCCATTCCCTCTTATCCTCTCACTACAGACACAGCAGTAGAGACCAGTCTCCACCCTGCTACACTCTCAGGGAGTTGTAGCGAGTGAAGAGGTCTCCCCTGAGCCTCCTCTTCTCAAGACTAAACAAACACAGCTCTTCCAGCTGCTCCTCACAAGACAAGCTTTCTAGACCTTTCATGAGCTCTGTTGCCCTTGCTGGACACACTTCAGCATTTCAAATTCCTTTTCAAAGTGAAGGGCCAAAACTGGACACAGCACTTGAGGTGTGGCCTCACCAGTGCCAAATACAGAGGGACAATCACTGCCACACTATTTCTGATACAGACCAGGATGTCACTGGCCTTCTTGGCCACCTGGGCACACGTTGGCTCATATTAGCCTGGTTGTCAACCAGCACACCCAAGCTCCTTTCTGCTCTCTCGAGCCACTCTGTCCTCAGCACTGCATGTGGTTGCTGCAACCCAAGAGCAGGACCCAGCACTTCGCCTTACTGAACCTCGTGCACTCATCCTTGGCACACTGATCAAGTCTGTCCAGGTCTGTCCGCACAGCCTTCCTACCCTTGAGCAGATCAACACTCCCATCTGACCTGGTGTTGTCTGCAAATTTACTCAGGATGCACTCAATCCCCATGTCCAGATCATTAATAATGGTGTTAAACAGGACTGGCCTAAATACTGAGCCCTAGGGAACACCACTAGTGACCAGCTGCCAAATAGACTTAACTCCATTCCTCGCCACTCTTTGGGCCTGACAACCAGCCAACTTTTTATCCATTGGAGAGTCCATCCATTCAAGTCCCATGCAGCCAGTTTATCTAGGAGGACGCTGTGGAAGATGGTGTGAAATGCTTTACCCAAGTCTAGATAGACAACATCCACAGCCTTTCCCTCATCTTCTCAGCAGGTCACTTAGTCATATGAGATCAGATCAGTCAAGCAGGACCTGCCTTTCTTCAATCTATGTTGTCTGGGCTTGATCCCTTGGTTGTCCTGCATGTGCCATGTAATGGCACCCAGGATGATCTCTTCCAGAACCTTGCCCAGAGCTGAGGTCAGGCTGACAGGCCTGTAGATCCCCAGATCATCCTTCCAACCATTCTTGTGTTACATCTGCTAATCTCCAGTCAGCTGAAACTCCTCCAGTTAAGCAGGACTGCTGATAGATGATTTAAAGTATTTTGGCAAATTTAGAGAATTCACAAAATCACTGGGTTGGAAGAGACCTTCGAGATCATCAAGTCCAACCCATGCCCTAACACCACAACTAAACCATGGCACTGAGTGTCAGTCTTTTTTTAAACACATCCAGGGATGGTGACTCCACCACTTCTCTGGGCAGACCATTCCAGAACTTTATCACTCTTTCCATGAAAAACTTTTTCCTAATATCCACCTATATTTCCCTTGGTGCAGCTTAAGGCTGTGTCCTCTCATTCTGTCAGTTGCTGCCTGGAGAAAGAGACAAACCCCCACCTGACTACAACCACCTTTCAGGAAGTTGTAGAGAACAATAAGGTCACCCCTGAATCTCCTTTTCTCCAGGCTGAACACCCCCAGCTCCCTCGTAGGGTTTGTGTTCCAAGCCCCGCACCAGCCTTGTTGCTCTCCTCTGGATGCGCTCAAGCATCTCAATGTCCTTCCCAAACTGAGGGACCAGACCTGGATGCAGCACTCAAGGTGCAGCCTCACCAGTGCCAGTGAGTACTTTTGCCAGTTCCCTCATTACTCTGGGGTGGATCCCATCAGGGCCCATAGCCCTGTGAGTGTCTAACTGGCACCGCAGGTCACTAACCATCTTGTCCTGGACTATGGGGACTTCACTCATCTGTCCATCAACAACTTCCATCTCAGGGAGCTGGGTATCCTGAGGACAACTGATCCTGATATTGAAGACCAAGGCAAAGAAGGCATTAAGTACCTCTGCCTTTTCCTCAACCCCTGTCACTACACCACCCTCTGAAGTCAACTAATGGTGGAGACACTCCTTGACCCTCCCTTTGCTGTCAATGTATTTATAGAAACTTTTTTGTTATCTAACTGTAGTGGCCAAAGCAAGTTCTAGTTGGGTTTTGTCCCTTTCAATCTTCTTCCTATAAGACCTTGTGATGTCCTTACAGTCCTCCCAAGTTACCTGACCATCCTTCCAGAGATTATATATTCTCATTTTCCCCCCTAAATTCCAGCTTAAGTTCTCTGTTTAACCATGCTGGTCTTTTTCCCTGACAACTTGTCTTTCCACACTTGGGGACAGTCTGCTCCTGAATATTTAACAATTCCTTCTTAAAGCACATCCAGCCTCCCTGGACTCCTCTGGCCGTCAGGACTGACTCCCAAGGGACTTGGTCAATCAATGTTCTAAACAGGCCAAAGTCTGCTCACCAAAGCCCAAGGCAGAAGTTTTGCTGCTGCCCTTCCTTACTTCACCCAGCACAGAAAACCCTAACAGTTTGTGGTCACTCTGCCCAAGATGGCCACTGACCATCACACCACCAGTCTTTCTTTGCCCACAAGCAACAGGGCCCCTCCTCTGTTAGGCTCATTTACCAGTTGTGTTAGTTAGAAAGCTGTCTTCCACACATTCCAGGAACCCCCTAGGCTGCTTCCTCTCTGCTGTATTTCCAGCAGACACCTGGCAAGTTGAAGTCACCCATGAGCACAAAGGCTGGTGACTGTGACACCTCTGCCAGCTACTTGTAGAACGCCTCATTAGCCTGTTCCTGGCTGGGTGGCCTCTAACAGACTCGCAACAAGAAGTCAGCCCTGCTGACCTTCCCTGTGATCCTTACCCAGAGGATCAACCTTGTCATCTTCATCATCAATTTCAATACAATCAGAACACACCTTATTGTACAGTGCTATCCAACCACCTCTCCTGTTTCACCTGTCTCTTATAAAGAGCTTATCTCCAGCCACTGCAGCACTCCCATGAGGTGAGTCATCCCACCATGTTTCTGTGATGGTGACAACATTAAAACTTTCCTGCTGAACAACAGCTCCTCCTGCTTGCTGCTCACACTGTGTGTTGGTGGAGATGCACTTTAGCTAGGTCAATGGTTTTGCCTGCATCACAGACCTGCCACCCTAGGTTCATCTCTAGTGATCCTCCACTTTCTGAGGTGCGTTTGACTGGTACATTTGCCTCAGGGGAGGTGGAGAATGGCTCTATCAGTCACTCTCTTCCTCAGATGCTCTAATGTCCCCTAACCCTGCCACCCGTCCTGCTAATCAGAGCAGATCACTGACCTACTCGCATTCACAGAGGTGTTCTGTTACCCTCTGATGCCAGTGCCTGCTTGAGCACTAGCACAGATGTCTGAAGCCCAAGTGACTGTGCAAATATTCATCTCTTGTGCATACCAAGTAGCCTTAAACCTGTCACAAGAAAACTAAGAACACTCTAGGTATCTATATATAAAGACATTGAGTACCAAATGAACTGGTCTTATGCTTAAAAGATCATGTAGAAATACCTGATACTTTCACATATAAAAGCTTCAAATTTTTAAGTAAGAAGCAAATCCATTCCCACAAACTCAAAGTTATTCACATATCTGTTTAAAGGATTTTAGGTTATTCTACTACCTTGGGCTTTAGTATTAGTCTTTTAAGTGTGTTATCAGCCTTGGAAATGAGATGAAGCTCTAAAGCAACAGTCAACCTCACCCAAAGCTGTTACATAGTAGACGAATTACATTTTAAAGTGCTTGCTTTCCACCTTTGAAATAAGACCTTCTACAGACTACAAACAAACCAAATCTTGTTAATTTCTGTTACTGACTTACTAATTCTACTATTCACTTTCCCCCAAATTAAGTACATATCAAATGGTCACATTTGCTTTTTTGTTTCAAACAGGATACTGAAATAGTTTTTTCTTCCTCGTCCATAATAGTCTGTGTCTTTGACTTTAAAAGGCTGTAGCTTTCAGTCTTGAAAGATTGCTGTAAATGGTACAGTAAAGAAAGAATAAATCAAGTCTCCTTTCCCTTTTTATAAAAACATCAACTAAAAATATGTCTTCCAATTACTGGTTTTAATGACCAGTATACCCTCAGGAAAAAGATCTTCTGTTTGTTTTTATAGCCCCAAAGGAAATACGGTTGTAATTCAGACTTCAAAAAAACCCAAGTAAATCAGAAATTATATAAAGTTTACCAATCATGCAAAGAGAATAGTTTGCCAGAAGCCAATATTTGAAGAAAATGCTTTCTGAGCTTAGAACTATTTAGATAACTGTAACTTCCCTAGGTTTTCTTTTAACACTCTCTAGTCGTGTCAAAGGACGGAAATTTGACTTCCTGCTTCCCTCTGTAGTAGTCAATCTACAGTCCTTCTGCAGCCCCTTCAGCAGCTCCATTAACTCCCGTTTTTCCAGCTCTGCCTGCTCCAGCTCCTGGCGGTGCTGTCTCTCTGCAGCCATCAGAGACCGTACATCTGACATCATTCGTGACATCTGACTCTGAAATGCAAATACAAATTTACTGCAAGAAACAAACCCTCTTCTAATGACGGTGCAGTGAAGTCGAACTGGCCATGCACATAGGGTGATGGAGTCTTCAGAATAAAAACCACTAAAATAATTTTTTGATAGTGCAACGAATGTAAACAATTTGAGACACAATCCAGCATTCATCCTGTGGGATGGTCTTGTTCTAAAGATTCCAGTATGTTTTTCAAAAATATTTTGTTTCTGTATTTTGTTTCTTACAAAGTATGATAAGAAACATACTTTTTACTCACTTGCTACCTTTATTTTCTATTTTAAGAATCCAAACAAAAGATGGTTGTGGTTTTGTTCAGATACACTCTTCAAGGATTTAACTCAAAATCCAGTAAAAATAAAAATGTAAATGATAAAATTTTAAAAAACTTTATAAAGCTTTTCAAAACTATTGTTTTAAAAATTGTTCTGTGATATAATAAAAAGAGGATGAATAAAAGGATAAGACAGCCTTGCTTATTACTTGATGAAGTTTACTGTGAACCTTTCTAACCTTCTGATCACGGTGCAAATACCACTGCTGGCAGCAGGGCTCTGCGTCAGCTCTGGACTAAGCCACTTTGAACAGCAATTAAAAATTGAGCTGGATATTTAATTACATTCAGTTTGTGATGTATACTCTACATTTAGACACTGAAATCAGTTTCAGATTTATCTGTTGAAAATGTTACACATAAACAGAACATGGATGGAGTACCTAGCTGAGCTCCAGTGAACCTGAAGCAGATAAACCATAGGAATACAGCATCCAGTCTGCTTCTCCACAGAGCTAACCTGGCAAAGCTTTGATGGCTTTGCTTCCCATACTTAATGCCATCTTCCTCTGTATGAGACTTTATTTACAAAATAAGAAACTGCTACAGGAAAAAGCAAAAAGCTAGACTGTTAAAGAGAGGGAAAAAAAAAAGGATTGTATTTACCTTTAGTTCTTCAATTTCATTTTGCAGAATACTCTCTTTTTGGACCATATGCCTTCTCTGTGAATCTAACCTTGACTCCATCTCATGTTTTGCCTCCTCCACTCTGCAGATCATTTCTGACCTAAAAAGTTTATTTCTCCTTGTTACATCTTGTAAGCAGAGAAAAGAATGATCTTCAAAATCCAGAAAGCCTTCTTGCAGCCAAACAGACTGAACTGATTCCCATCAAGCTCTACAGGATGTCTCTGTAGAGACATGATTTATTAATTTAAAATAAAAAAAACCAATAGTATAAAGAAGTGCATTGTGTCCAGGGGCATTAAAGTTCCCATGACGAACCTATAGAAGGACAATCATATCATATTCCTCAAATAATTCCAAGAGCTCAAGAAGGTGCATTTATGACTTTATGTATTTATGACTTTTCTGCTGTTTGCCTACAGTATGTGCTTGCTGAGTGTTGTGAAATAGAGGCAGCCAAGATAAAAAGTCAGAATCCTGTAGTACTGCTAAATACTCTTTTTCAATCTAAATGATTCCATGATTCTGTGTAATCTCCACTTTTATGTTGGACTCTAAATGAGAGTGTGCAGTAAACTGTTACAGCCTAGTCACTCACACAGCTCCACAGCCAAAACCAGACAGCACTACATTAACCTTTTGAGTTCAGAGACCAGGTAGCAGAATCACTTGTGTCTCAATGCATTTAAACTATATTTGAGCTTTGCTTCACAGCAGTGCTCAAAACCACAACACTTATGAGCTGAAATATACAAATGGGAAGGAGCATGTGGGGGAAAAATAAAAGTACAACTGGAATATAATGAAAAGGGAAAGCTACAGAAACATACATAAAAGGAAAACAAGGATGCTGGTAAGAAGAGTCATATTCACTGACTGTTAATCTACCAAACTTTAAAAAAATCAAAATTAGACCTTCAGTGGTTGAATCTACCTGTACCTGCCAAAATAAGATTTTTAGCTTCTCAATCTGTAAAAACATGAACTAAATACAATTATTAAATGATGTGACTTTGTCTCTATAACAGGCCAATGGAAAAATTAAATTGCCACCTTCAATAAGGTTGCAGTTCTGTTCAACTGTGGGCAATGGTATTTTAAGATTTATAGTAACTTGGAAAAAAATGCTCAACAACAAAAGAATCAAAACAGCAAGAATTTAAATTCTATGCTGACAGGTAATAAAATTCTGGCCCCAAGTAATTAATGGACCATTTAACATCTACCAGAATCCAGTGCTAGTATTTCAAAGTGCTTCATGCAGTGACTTGAAGCCCAGCCCAACGAAGACACGAGAGAAAGAGAAGCTTGGTACCGAAGCAGCTCCAGCTCGGTCCTTAGCTCTGCCACACAGTTGTGCTGCGTGTCCTCCGCGCTGAGGATGGTGTAGCCGCAGCCGTTGGGGCACTCCCGGCTCCGGAACTCGCACACCGCCAGGTGCCCGTCCAGGTTCCGCCGCTCGATCTGCACGGTACAGCCTGAGCAAGGGGAGCAAGGCAAGACTGTCAGCTACAGCAAAAGCAACTTGAGTCATCCAAACAATCCCTCAAGAAAGGAAGCTGAGAGAAGTGACTTCTTTAGGATGTGAAATATGGAAGTTACACGCACATAGCTACTAATTCAACGCTGTGAAGAGGTCTTATTAAGATACTTAACCACTAATTGAACATACTGAAAGGTTGGAAGGAGGTATTTTCTGTAAAATCTTCTATTGCTGGTCTGGCATTAAATCAACTTCAGTAATGACAATCCTGATGCCAAGCTAAGACACCAGCAGCTTGTCTGTACTACCATCATCGAGGGTAATGACTGGAATTTACAAAGAATACATATATGTAAAAAAAATATTATGCTACCAAACTCAGAGAAAAGTCCAAAGATGCAGTAAAGAGAGATGTGAGTGAGATGGAATATAAAATGTTTTCCAGACAATTTGTTGGTCTTGTCCATAATGTGCTAGATCATAATAATAAGTTACAAGATTTATTTATGAACATTTAATAAGTCATACAACGATAGAAATATTTCCACAGAAATTCTAGGATACAAACTTTGCAGTTTGGTAGTAATTAAAAATAAAATGTAAAGAATAAAGAATAAGTACTATATAAATTATTGCTACATTTAACAATCTAAACTTGAAGTTTGTAGTCTCAACTTATGAAGTCAAACTTAGGAAGCTTGTAGTTTAATTGTTGAGGCTCACTTTCCTGAAATACACACTTGCATTTAATTTGAAGAGAATCTCAACTTAAGGAAACTGAAACAACGGAATATTGACACTTCCCAACAATCCATGCCAGAAAATGACAAATGAGATCTCTAGAAGAGCTTTACTAATAAATATAATGATTTGTAATTGAGGTACTCAAAATATACTCCATGTATTCTTGGGAAAGAGTTCAAGAGATGTAAGAGCCTTCACACCCCAAACACCAGACACCCAGTGTGATGTAAAAACATAAATCTGTAAAACACTACTCTTTCTGCAGGAAGTAGAACAGGTGAATCAATCATCTCCAGAAGTCACTTCTGAGAAAAATTGTAACTTCTAGCAGAGCAATTTTAGTACCTTAATAATATCATAATTAATTACAATGGCAGACTCAACTACGCCCTTAAGATCATTAATTAGATTTTAACTTTATCTAGGAACAGACAACATTTCAAATTAATTCAACTGGGAAATTTTAACAGTATGTTCCTTTTTAGAAGTATGTTTTTTTCTCAGGAGGTGTAGCCTTGCTTTAAATAAAAACCTCAACATGAACAATTCTAACTAGAATTTAGCTGAGAATATTTCTTATTTCCAAGATATGTTCTTGCTAAAACTATGTCACAGAGTTGGCAGCTGCACATGCACTAGGCAACCAGGTGTTTTATAAATAAATTATGATCCCTAAGTCTTTTGCAGGGGCTACTGCATTCATTCAAACATCAAAACATGCAGTCAGAACTGGAAAACAAATTCATAACTTGACAGAAGGTGAAACTAATGCACTATTAAATTTCCATACATTTGAAGCTCATCATATTAATTTTGGTTAGTTTTTGGATAAGAAACAGTTGCTAATCATCATGACTGCCATAAACTGTACTATATTTTGTTCAAAAACACTACTTCAAAGAGCAGATCAGGCCAAAGCTTTGAATTTCTGTTAGAAAATAATGACCATTATTGCAGTTCTGTTGATGGGAAGATGACAAATGTGTTTGTTTAATATAAAGGATTCAACTTTTTTGTATGTTACTCACCAGCATTGGAGCAAGGTATCTGACTGTACTCACACTCCCTTTCATGCCTGTCTATGGACTCCAGAGAACAAACCATTTCACAGCCATACTCTCTGTTTCTGCAATGGAGCTGAAGACGGTTTAAATCATTTTTCATATATCTACATGCAAAGAAAAGAATTTGTTCTTAAATCTGGGAACATTATTGAAAAATTTGTATTTTCAGCTTTTGGGAAAAGAAAGCAAGATTCTAATCTCCTAATCACATTTCCTAATCACAATTAGGATTCCTAAACACAATTAGGAAAAATTGTGAGTAGCTGAATTTATTTATTTTTTTAAGAATTCAAGTAATCATATCAGAAAAAAAAGCTTGAAAGAAACACTATTAATGAAAAATTCAGTCTCTAAATCTAAATGTGCAAATGAAATCTTTATTTTTGAATAATTTTTAATTGTGACCTTTCACTGGCTCAGCAGATATTATCAATAACAAACACCAGGGCCATTCACTTGCCATTTAAATTCTGTTTCTAAACATGCCAGACTAAAGGACTGCAGTGAGTACAGATTAAAAAAAATAATCTAAAAATTAAACTCTAGTGCTCTGTCTACACTATAGTTAACTTCCAGATAGTAAAATCTCATGAATGAAAAATTATGTTATAAGTGCTAAGAAAGTTAAATTTACTGTAGCTGGAGACTTTAAATAATAACTGCTAATCTGAGCAAAATTAGATAATGCAGGTGTTAAACAGCAAGCTGTGTCTACTTTTGAAGCTGTTTTGTTCATCACACCAGCAGGAATTAACCGTTTAAAAAACAACAGCTTGTTTGGGAAAGACCAACAATAATCATATGGTCCAACTGCCTGACCAGTTACCTAAGTCACTAGTGAGAACAGCCTGCTTTACATGACAAGGTGGTTCACAACAGGCATTCATATGTCTAAAGATCTTTTTTAGAAAGGATTTGAAAGTCAGAAATTTGGTTCATATCTCCAGGAATTGTTAATTACAAACCCCACTGCAGCATCTAAGACTGAAAAGAGGTATAGAGTGTGTAGTGACTGGCATTTGCTTGCTTTCTCTAAATTCAAGTATCCAAAAGTTTTGATGCCGTAAAGGACATTCAGAATAATATTCAAACAGGTATCTAGAATCAGTATTCAAGACATAAAAAGGTGGAGAACAAACTAAATGTCCTTTCAGTTTTGAAATCTTAACACCCCAGAAGTTAGTTACAATAAATAGAAAATGCTAATGTTTTCATGTAAGTAGTTGGTGTCTGCCACAGGCACACTGGATAAAGACAGCCTGAGTGACAGTATCGACAGGAGATGAAGCTGTGCAAGCAAAACGGAGAAATCCTAAATTAATGTAATTTCAACACACACCAAGATTATTGGATACCTGTAGAGAGGTCGTAGCAAAGACACATCAATGACTTGTCTGTCTTCAGGGCAGTTACTGTGATGAACAAGCCACCCATGGATACAGGCAGTGCAGAAAGCGTGTTCGCAAGGAGCCTGCAGTGGATCTTCTAACACATCTCGGCAGATGGAGCACAACAGCCCCTCGTTAACATAGCCCACAAAGCGCTCAATATCATAACCCATGCTCTCCACACCTTCAACCTATTCAAAAACCCCAAACACACAGAAATAAAGCAATCTTTGTGCTGAATCTGTATGGGTAGATCCACAAAGAGGCCTGAAAGCAATTCCAAAAACATGGAGACCTTAATGTGAATAAAGAAGTGAATGTGTGAATGCAAACAAACATTTACACACTTCAGAAACTTACAGATTTAAGTGGGAATTTGAGACTTGTACTGCTGGATGTCAGAATCACAATTTTCATAAAGAAATTTTGAACTCTGAAAGCAAAGACTTTGGCACAGTGGAGCTGCGCTTCTTCTTAATGCTGTTATTGAACATAATTGTAGCAGCCACTGTGAAACAGAGTTTCTATTTACATGAATTCTACCTGAAGCAGAAACATCACAGAAGTTCAAATGCAAATGTTTGCTTTCCATTTTAATACCTTTCATTTAATGCCTAACAAACTTACAAAATGGTGTTCTTACCAACAATAGCTGTGGCACTTTCAGCTAGCAAAGAGTGGATTGATGAACTGCACATCACTTAAGATGTTGCTTTCATACTGAAAAAAAAAAGATTCTCTACTCACTGTAGACCTCCATTTTAGAGGGAACAGCATGAAATCACTACATGATTAAAGGCATACTTAATATTCAGGAAGTAAAAGAAGCCAAAACTGCAGCTAACCCTGAAATCATAAAGAGCTACTGTCTTTTCCTACATGAGGCGTTTTTGAATGGATTTGAAAGCTTTGTGAAGAAGAACTAACGTACAATCTGCCTTCATCTAAATCCTATCATGAAAAACCTTGTGGAATTTGGTAAGACTCCACAGAACTCCCTTAAAAGAATAAGTTTTAGGCTCCAAATTGCTCCTTGACATATAAAGTTACTTCTGTAAACCCAGTGAGACTCATGAAAGAGGTTTTCATTAGTTATGAGGTTTTCTAAATAAAATAGAAAAGGAAGATATCTTACCTTTGTAGATTTTACTACATAGATATGTAGTTTGCCCAAATACTTCAGAAACAGTTTTCTAATCAGTAAGGCATGTAATGCTTCCTTTAGTTTCTCTTCATTGCTTTACTATGCCTATGAGAAAAATTAGAAAGAGTAAGGCTCATACAGTAGTGTTTCCTAAGTTACTGAGTCTATGTCTAACAAGCCAGCTACTAAATAGATGCTGTCCTAACAGCCCATTAAAACCAAGTTTTCCAAAGAAGGCCACTGAAAACCTACAATTCAACACAGGTGAATTGACTAGATTAGGGCGAAAATAATCATCAGTCTCTGTTTCAATTACTACTGATGCAGATATTACTCACAAAACTGTACACCCTGCTGATGATCAATTTTGAAGCCAGTTATCTTTGTAAGACTGAAGACAACAGAGTATTATTGAAAAGTAGCAACTGAAATCTGGTAAAATTATATTCCTCAAAAAGATGGAAGTTCCTTATCTACCTGTTCTTACCAATCATGACAGGCAGTTCATTTTAAAACAAAACTATTACAAGTTTGTTGTATTGACAGATATCATTGCTGTGTTACATACCTAGGGTTGCTCACTTAAAACATCATAAAAGATGCCATTATTAAACCCCTTAAGTTATGCTAGAGGACTTAAAAGAGCATACATAGACTAGATAATATGAACTGTAAGCCTAACACTTTGCTTTGGTTTGGTGGATCCCAGAGGATTGTGCTTTTAGAAAACCTTCAAGGACAGATAAAAGTGCAAAACTATGTACTTTTACTGTCTTAGAGTTTCTGTTCTTCTGGAATTGGGGATGCTGTGAGCTACATTTTGCACAAACACTGCTAGTCCGTGAGGACCAAGTCTTCAAGACACTCTTCAGCACATTTTAGCGAGTTTGAAGACTAATGGAATGCAGGAAAGAGTATTTTTATAAAATGGGGAACAAAAATTTTATTTGTGCTTAACAGAGAAATGAAGTGCGACAGCAGCAACAAAAAATATACGTATCATATACATATGTCTCTGTATATAAATATATATAGATGTATAAAGCCCCAGCCAAACTGAAGTTCAAATGAAGAGTGGATAGGAACTTTGAGACAAAAAATACAATCAAGGGGGATTCTTCAGAACATTTTGAAGATTCATGTTGAAGCAGCAAAACACAGTGCTGGAACCTTTCTCGCAATGGATCTGGGACCTATGACAACAGCTGTTACTCAAGTCCCAGACTTCTTCCAGTAGAAGTTTCCTGACCTGAAGAACCAGAGATATTTTCTTATCAATTTCAAAAAATGCACCTTAGTCAAGAGATAAGCAGAGGGAGAGAATCTGATGAATGTCATGCACTTAAGCAGTACAAATCTTTACCACAAAATGAGAAAATTTTCAGTTCTGCTTATCTCCAGAAACTTCTCTCTTCTACATTTGACCTCAAAACTTATTTTCCCAATTCTACTACAATTCACCAATTGTCACACTCCTTTTTTGATTGCACCTAGAAATTATATTATTTTGTTGAGAGATGTCACTTGCTTGCTTAAGCAAGTAACTTCTAAATAGATTAAGTCACTTAGAATTACAATACTCTGTGATTTAGAATGCTGTTTGCTTATATCTACTTGCTTAGCACATTGGGTTGCTGGAAGCCTTAGGCTGAAAGCTAAGGATTTTTGTTGCCTAGACATGCTTTTGGCTGGAACTGAGTTAATTTCCTTAGCAATTTTCCCACTGGCTGCTACAGTGCTGCGCTTTGCCTTTAGAATGAAAAGAATGCTGCCAACACACCAATGTTTTAGTTGTTGCTAAGTAATGTTTATCCTAAGTCTAGGACTTTAATTTAGTTTCCCATGCTCTACCGGGGAGCAGGTGCACAAGTAGCACAAACCATAAGATAAGGAGCTGATGGCCATCAGCAGAAGTTGCAACTCAAGAACAGTTAATAGCTTGCCTGCATGGACATGGAGAGAGAATCCAATCAGCTGTTAGAAGATCCCAGACCAAAAATCACCACTATAAGGGCTGTGTGAAGAGCATGCAGAGGAGGGTGCATAAATTGTAAGGGTATTATTGTGCAGAGATTTCTTTGTTTGTGAGACAAAGCACACAAACTGTGACATGCTATTTGCTCTTTATTGTTTCATGTGTTTTATTTTCCCCTGCAGTTCTGGACAAGCAAAAATCCCCTCCAGACTTCACAGGTATCAAGCAATTTTTCAACAGTTGTCATCCCACATTGTTTTTCAGGCAGACGCACATCCAGAACCAGCCTCGAGTTGTGGACTTCAGTGCCCTCAAATAGAGATTTGGTGTGAATATGGTAACAGGGCAAATACAGATGAGATGTAGTTCCCAACAACATCATCACATAGCTTGCTAAATGCCTGGCACTAATCAAAGCTATTCCACTGTGAAAGTCAGGACACTGAAATTAAATTAGTGACCTTCATTTTTGCATCTGCAGTAGCTTCTGATTTTTAAAAAATGCTTATTTTTCAGGTGACAAAACAAAGCATAACTGTTTGAAAGGCTGGAGTGAACCACAACAGAACTACAGATGTGCATGGCTAAGAAAGCATTGTCAGAAACACTGGAGGAACAGAGGCTATGCAGGGCCCAGGGACGAGGTGACACTGAGACATGACATTTCTTCAGCCTTTATTTTCACAGATCCTGTTATACAGAAGCAATATTTTAGTGTGTTTTTTGCCACTCTAACACTGTAAACCACTTCAAGCCAGCATCAGTGCCCAAAGGGGCAGACTCACCCCTTCAACTGTGACTGTTCAAGTGGTTTCTCAGGCACTTGATGTATCACTCTCAGTAACTGACCTGTTTTAAGACTGAATTGGGGAAAAAAATTAACTTTGGCAGTTTTATTATGATAGCTCAAGCCTATCTATCCAAAAGTTAATATGCCCCCCACCTCTCTCCACCTCCTCCTTTGAGTCAGTGAGAATATTCAATGTACCCCTTTCCTGAACTGGCTCATGCAACTCACCATACAGACAACCATACCCTGATTTAATTTCTTGTAGATGGCTCAGCAAAAGCTCTAGGAACTGCAGGGCATGACAGGGATAAGGAACTGCAGCCAGGGCAGAGAGGGAAGCAAGACAGACAGCAGCAGTCTGTGGTCAAGGATGCTGAGGGATGCTACTCCCTCAGCTCAGCTCCCTAGAGCGGTACACTGGGGAGCAGGATGAACATTCGTGTAAGAGAAAAGGAACAGAGGAGGGTAAGAATAAATGAACAGCAACAGCACCTTACACTGATGCAAAAACCTGATTAAAAAAAAAAAAAAGCTATATAAAAAATATGAGGCAATTTAAGGCCTCTTCCAGGAACCACGTAACTACTATACCTATTTTGACAAAGAACATTTTTGTACAACACTTGTCCTGCAAAACCTAGTCAGAACAGAGCCATCCATGACCTGCCCTGCACAGACCAAAGTCCAGAGAAGGGCAATGGAGTTGGTGAAGGATCTGGAGCACAAGTCCTATGAGGAGGGGCTGAGGGAGCTGGGGTTGCTTAGCCTGGATAAAAAGGCTCAGAGGAGACCTTTTGGACCACCTGAAAGGGGCTGTAGCCAGGTGAGGGCTGGTCTCTTCTCCCGGGCGACAAGCGACAGGATGAGAGGCCACTGACACGGGCTGTGCCGGGGGGTTGCGTTTTAGCTTGGACTGCAGAATTTCTTCACAGAAAGGGTGGCCAGCCACTGGAATGGGCTTGATCTCAGAGGTCTTTTCCAACCTAATCAATTCTGTGAGCACCTCCGCCCTCCCTACAAGCACCTTCGAGCACAAGGTGCAGGGCTGGGCTCTGACACCCCGAGCCAAGCCCAGGGTCAGAGGAGCCCTCTCCCCTCGGAGCTGTGCGGGGGGGAATTGTGTACAAGGAACAGGGGAAAGGCCACCGGATTCGGCCTGAGAAGGCGCTTCAGGGACGGACAACGACCCTGATCCCAGAGCACAGAGCTGGCCCAGAAACATCTGGAGAAGCGACCCGACACCAAGGAACACCACCTGCGCTGCCTCAGGCAGCGACAAACACCCTCACAGCTGCACGCACCCTCACAGCTGCACGCACCCTCACAGCTGCCTTTCCCACGCGGCGGCGCTGCTGCCGCCGGCCCGGCACCGGGCCCCAACAACGCTGAGCACAAAGCCGCCCGCCCCGGGCCCGCTGCCCCCGCCCGGCCCCGGCCCCGGCCCCGGCCCCGCTCTCTCACCCGCCCGCCGCCGCTCGCTGTCGCGCAGCCGAGCTTCCCTTTACGGCCGCTCTCGCTTGACGGCGGCGCGACGGGCAGCCGCTCCGCCATGCTGTGTGTGGCAGAGGCCGCAGGCCGGTACTACGCATGCGTAGGCAGCGCCTCCCGAGGGCGGGAAGCGCCTTCCCGGGGTCCGTCCCGCGCGCATGCGCGGCCGGCGGGAGGGGACGGCTGGCGGGGCGCAGGCGCGGTGCGGCCGCAGGGCTGCCGGGAGCGCGCGGCGGGACAATTGAGCGCAGAGGCGGGAGCGCAGGTACGGCAGCCGCGGGCCGAGGGGCCTGCTGGAAGCGACCCCGGGAAAGACCCTACCAATGACATAGCTCCACCCCCCTGCCGTGGGCAGGGACATCTCTCACTAGATCAGGTTGCTCAGGGCTTCATTCATCCTGGCCTTGAGCGAGGGGGCATCCGCAAGTTCTCTGGGCAGCCTCTTCCAGTGCCTCACCATCATCAGAGTGAGGAATTTCTGCCTTACATCTAATCTAACCCCGCTAGCTCAGATTGAAGCCACCCACCCTTGTCCTATCGCTACATGCTCTTGTAAAAATTCCTTACAGCTATTTCTGATTTGAAGCGATTTTTCAGTAATGTTGATGTTCAAGGCGATTGCTGCCTGCAACTTAACTGAGTGAGGTGATGCTGTGTCACGTCTCCTCAGTTGCCCACAGCCCCTCTTCTGCCTCTGCATCTGTGCCGGCAGTGCCTGTTCAAACATTCCGGGAGCAGCTGCTTGAGTTTGGGCCGAGATGGGCATTGTGGCTGCCTTTAGCAGAGCTCCGTGCGCACCGTGTTGAGCTGCATGTGTAAAATCTCGAAACGCTCTTTGTATGTATCTTTAATTTTCAATGCAGCTACTAATGTACCCTTAAGGAAGAAAGTGCAACCGAATTCAATGCCTGACAAACCGTGGGACGGTTTGGGCTGTGGTTTCGTGGTGCGCTGGGTTTGGTCAGGCACGGTTGCTAATAAAAGCCGGAGCAGTGCTTTTTGCATTGCTCGCAGCTGTTTTTCTGCAGCCAGACCTAGCAGTAAGGCAAGGGCAAGGTTCCCTGGTGTACCGGTGCTGTCTCTCAGGAAAGGGCATATTTGCATATTCTTTCATTTAGTTGTAGTCCGGAGCTGTTCCTTGCCTTGCTGCACTCACTCTGATCTTATCTGAAGGACCTGGCATCAGTGGTTTGTTGTACATCTCTGATGTTCTATTCCTGTTAGGTAGTAGTGTAAAGGGACAAATTGTAAACGTTTTGGTTATTTTTTTAAACATGTTAAAAATTCATTATATTTTATGAAAACTTGTATTTTAAAAAACAAAGATGTATTTGTGGCTGCCATATTTAATTTTAAAACCCACAAACCTGTAAGAGTCTTTGTACTTACAAGTAGGTAATATGGTAACTGTGAAGTTACTGAGTTATCAAAGATAGTGTCTTCAAATGTCTTAGTAATTTTCAAATCTCCTAATGAGTTTGTTTTTATGGTTTTAGACCAAGTGATAGTGCAATGGCCAAATAGATTTGGGAAACAAAGCACTTTAGTCATGGATATGTGCAATTTATAAATTGTACATCTTCTCTGTCCCACAGAACCTCAAGTGCAGTGGGCAGAGTTAGTGTAGCGCTGCAGCCATGCTATGCACAGTCCTCCTGCAGAACCCTGGGGTGTCCTGTAATGTCTTCCCAAGCATCACTGTGTAGTGTAGGGCTGGGAAGAGAACTTGTTCAGATTCCCATGGCACCTGAAGCTGGCTGTGCAGAGCACTGGTACTTGCTGTCTGCTCCCCCTGAAGGTTCTCGACACCTTTGCAGTGTTCACAGTGGCTTTTCACGTTCCAGATACTCCTGTTATAATAACCAAGCTACTCCCTTATTGCATAGGGTTAACTAAAACTCATTTGCTGTCACTGTTGTCAGGTAAGCCTAACTTAAGTGAACTGCTGCATACACAGAGGCTTCTTTGCTTGTATTTTTAATAACAGCCACAGTGGAAGTGACAACAGTTGAGGCCATTTTGCCCCTGAGATTTATGTCTAGTAACAGCATCATATATATGCTAGTTGTGCAGATATGGGGAGAGAGCAGTACTCCTGCTACCAGTCTCTGCATGTTTGATAAGTGTTTTGGCAGTGCTCTGTCACTACTTCAGTGCAAACCTTGGAAATAATGGTGGTTGTGCCCTAGGAAGCCACTGGAGTGCAGAGTAGCACCAAAAAAGGTGCAGAAACACACTGTTGCAGCAGAATGCAAACATGCTTTTGAGGTGTTACAGAAGTTTGATTCTGCAATCTGTATTACAGTTTATTTTTAACCCAGTTGTTAGGGGGATCATTTAAAATAAACATGTGTAAACAGAGAATTGAACCTGTAACTGTAGTGCAAGTTTTGCTTGCCTTCTTCATTTTGGCTGCTGTGTCATTCTGTTGGCATTTTCTTCTTTTGTTTGATTTATGTCTACTTCTTTGAAGCATTTAGATTATAACTTGTTTTTCTATTGGTTGCAAAAGTAAACTTTGTCATATTAACATTGGTATATGTCTGGTTTTGCCCTAAGATTTTTCTGGGGAATAATGGTCTTATATTTTGAGGGAAAACCTATAATACATTCCTTCCACTGTTCAAGTGGACATAACATGAAGCAATAATATTCACTGTAATTCAGTGATAATTTTCTGCTGAATGTTAATCTTATTATGGTGAACCTGAATGACCAATGCAATTGACTGTTTAATGCAAAATGCTGGTCCCAGATATGAGACATACCTTCAAGATTCATTGTTCATTGTGCACTAATAATGGGCTTTTCAAAATTATAGAAGAGTGTATAGAATAGTAAGTTTTGCTTAAAATTGTCTTTCTTTTTATAAAACTGGTGTAAGTTTGCTAAGTAGCCCTATACTGTGTATCTCCAGAGCATTTATTGCTATTGGGAACTCCATTAGTGGCTTTTTAAATGAAAATCGAGGTGTTCAGCTGCAGAATTTACTGAAGTTGATCTTTCTTGGTACTTAAACACAGCATTGCAATGATGCTACTCTTCCTTAAATGTTACTATGCTTGTGAATTAATATTGTTATTTTAAGATCTTGTATGCTCTTTTGTATTTTGAAATAGTGCTTTTGTTGTCACCTATGGATATTTTTTTATATTTAAAGCCTGTTCTAACTACAATTGTCTTTATCTGCTTCCTTCCTTCTTGTCCACCCTGCAGAGCAGTACAGCTGAATATGAGGCGATCTGCAGCTCCCAGTCAAGTCCTAGGAAATGCTGGCAAAAAGCCAAGGTTTATACCACCAGGAAAATGTACTGCTGTTTGTCCCAAGAATGAAACTAAGGAGATGGACCAAGAAATTAAGTCGAAGGAGGTAAACTGAACAGTGTACTAAAAGTATTTTGTACAGTATTGTGACTAAAAGATAACATCTGAGCTCACCACAAACAATCTCTGTTTAAATAATCTATTCAGAACAAATTTTGACAGCTTTGCTGTCAGTACCTTTGACCTTGCTTCTCAGGTTAGGCTTCTCTCACTGCGGAGTGGTTGCAGAAAAATGTTTTTCAAATAAATAAAATTAATCAGTATTGAGCCCAAATGCAATTCCCAAATGTAATTGAGGTGGGGATTGCATCTCATAATGGGCTTTATTGGATTTTTTTGTAAAAGCAGTTAAAAAGCAAGGATTCTTTTTGTAAAGTCTCAGTATGCTGAGTTGCAGTTTTGCTGCAAAGGGACTTTCTCTGAAACCTTTAATATTGACACAATTTTTATTTATCTACAGAAGACTTGTATTAAACTAAATTCATAAACTATTTACACAAGTGTTTGGTATTGTGTGCACACATATGTTGTGATGCATATAGTTTTGCAGAGATGTAATGTATTTATGTAACAATTTGATAATGACAATTAATATGTTGTGAAATCCCTTCTTGTTGCTCTTTTCTCTATTCCTCTCCACCTGCATGCAGGAAATGCTATTGTGAACTTATTTCTCTTTTGCAGATAGATGAGAAAGAGGGAGGTGCTTCATTGCTATCTAAAATAAGTATCCAGAATCAAAATGAAAATTTTACACAGTCTATGGAGTCAACTGGAAAAATAAAGACAAAAGCATGTTTCAGCATTGACAAGTGTAGCAAGGCAGAAAAGAGAACACTAACTGTGCCCAAAGCTGGTAAGATGCTCTTTCTTTTTTACTACCATATAACATAAGAGAATTTTAAAGCTTATGAACGATAGACTGCATATACTAAACTTTTGTGAAGTGCTATTATAAGCATTGTGCAGTGGTGGCATTTTTTGGTGTTATACTGGATAGAGTGAAAGGAATAAGTGTTAAACAAATTTTTGAATAAAAAAGGAAAGAACCAAGATGCTTTAGAAGCGAGTTGGTAGTGTTGCTATTCAGGTTTGTGTCTTCCAGAAAAGCCATATAGTCAACTCACTCTAATCTACAGTTGGTGCAATACAAGAATTGTAATACCTTAAATAGTGGGAAAGTGTTGTAATTTGGAGACCTTGTTGAACTCATGCAGAGAAAGCTAGCCATTCTGAGTGGATTCAGGTTTTTTTCAGAATTCATGAGGTTTTCTTTTCTTCAGTGTCTCCAGTGGGCACTTAAGGTTTAAGCCAACTTCAGCCACAGAGCAGAACTGGCTTTGCTCATTTGTGGGTGTGCACTTCATCAGCTGTGCCCTGGTAATGAATGCCTCTGAAAACCAGGGTAGTAAGCACTGCTAAGACACTGAAGTGTCTGAACTATAGCAAGAGCACTTGGACGGACCTGAACAACATTGTGGGGTTGAGTGT